TGGTTTCAGCAGGAATGTCCGTTATTTATAGTCCACATTTTATGCGTCAAACAAGTAAAGCACAAGATATGAAACGAAAGTATGTATTAATTTTTGTTATTAGCAATAATAAATTTTGTTGTTGATTTTATTAGAATTTCTGAATTGTTTGAAACTGTGACAAAAACAAAGATTCCTCCTCATGTTCGTTCTCTTACATTGGATATGTTATGTGATGACCTGGAAGGAAACGACGTTGAAGATGTTCCTTATATTAAATACACATTCAGATGAACAGCTATGAACGATCGAAATAAAATGAACATTGTTAATCTATTATTCTTCAGCAGTCCTTCTATTATGTGTTATTCTATTTGCTTATTTGTCTCTTGTATTTGTGTGTGTGTGTGTGTGTGTGTGTTCATCTTTCCTCGTTCTGTTTTATCATTATTCCAGAGTGCTCAAAGTAAAGAATAAAGAGAAAGAGAAGAACATGTTTATGATGAATATGAATTGTAGTTGTAAGTCGTGATCCTGTTAAAAAAATAGATGAATTGAAAAATGAAGTTTAATATAATGGCATAAGTCAATAAGACATGTTTTCGTATATGGTTTGATTGCAAAAAGTGACGTTTTATGATTCTACAAATAATGAAGTAGCAGTTAACATTTCTTAAAATTTGTGTGTATGTGTCTTTCAATCAGAAATCGCAATCAAGGCAAGCATCCTTGAATCTTAATGGATTTTTTATAATTTAATCATTTGAAGTAAAATTTGCTACACCGCAATGAATTAAGTATGAGCAACGAAGTTAGATGATCGATTCTAACTTCCAAACGCTATCTTGATAGTAAATTCGAGTGATTCGATTTGTGCACTATATAGTAAGTTGATTTAGATCACATTGTGAAAATCTACGAATGACATGATCGAGACATCTCCTGACGGTACTACTTTTCTGTTTTCCACTGAAAATCCTGATATTTCATCGTTCATTTCCTTAAGATTTTATGTAAATGATTATAATACGTTCTTTTGTTATAATCAGTTTATCTTTCAAAATTTATATCAAAATATCTGTAGAGTATGGTCAATAAAAAAAGAAAGATAAGACTCAAATAACCGTTATTCGAAGCATATAATTGTTTCTATTTGTTCTGTAATTAATCCAAGTATTTATAACTTTCATATAATTGAGTTTTCAAAACAATTAGCTTAGTATTAACAGCTGTTACAAGTGCTTTAACTGTAGCAATATCATGAAATTTTTTATTATTCTTAACTGCAACAAGTTTTGTACTTCTTTACAGCAACGTTCTAGTTGCTTCAGCCAATGACCTGAATTTCCGCATCGTTTCAGCCTCCGAACTCGAATATCACCACTTGTAGATCTGAAAACCATAGCAGTTGCTTCATTTAATGATGAACGATCATCTTAAATAAGGTGATGGTTTTGATAAAAACATCTTTCAATATCACTTTTGTCACCCGAGAAAGATAACAAACATTTGATGAGCTTAGTTAATACTACATATTCTGCTGCACTAGTTGCTGGAATATTACATAATGCATAATGTCAATATTTATCGACAGCTACATATTAGATGATATTGTTTCAAGAATTTGTATTTGTTTTAATTTAATCTTCAAAAACATCAGTTATCTCGTAAATACAGCATTTAGCATCAACTCGATTCATTTCTTCGTTGGCTGGTGGGATGTGGATGTAGATAGTTGAAGAGAAGACGTATGCCTACATCCAATAACGAAAACATTGCGTTGCTGAACTGTTTTTTCTCCCTTGACCAGCTTGGAAGCTTATTACAGTAGTGTACGTTTAAATTGTAACTAATCATTACAACTTCCTCCACTTTTATTCGTATTTTATCATGAAAAGTAATAGCAGAATAAATTTTGCTATCTCGAACTTTGACATAAATCTTTGATTGGTCTTCAAAACTTTACTGGCTATTTCACCTGGCTTCGGTGTATATGCTGCTGCGACCCCTGGTGGTTGAATGAATAGTTTAATTCAACTTTGATTGGTGTTCACTATTCTATTTTGTTTCCTTTTCGTCTGATTCATCAAGATAATTGCATAAAAATATATTTGCTTCTATACTCTTCCTTAATTTTATTTATTTTTGTTATTCCGAAACAAAACATAAATAGTCAAAAGGTTATTATGATTAGCCTACCAAATATAACCATACGTTCACTGTTACTCTTCCTATTTTTTACTTTTTCATAGGCATTTTGAGTTGCTTAATCAAAAAGTAACATGGGACATGCATGAAAAATATTTAAAAAGTAACGCTTGTTATTTTACCTTACCTATTTACATTAAAATACAAAGAAAAAACATATATATATACCAATCATTTGTATATCTATGTTCCTTACCTCCTTCAATAATTTGGAAACTTAATAATAATAAAAATTCACTCACTACACGATACATCGATATTGAATCAAATGGCTGACATTCAACAACATGAAACATCGACAATAATGCCTGAAATCGATGAAAGTCTTTATTCTCGACAAATGTATGTGTTTTTTTTCACCAGTTTGATAAAAAAATGATACATCAACTATTGTTTTTAGTTATGTCATGGGCAAAGAAGCTATGCTTCAATTAGCTAGTGCTCATGTTCTCATATCAGGCATGGGTGGCCTTGGTGTTGAAATAGCTAAAAATATTATATTAGGTGGTGTTAAATCAGTTATTATTCATGATTGTAGTAATGTTGATTATAAAGATCTTTCATCACAAGTAAAATAAATCAAATTTTCAGAATTTTATTTTAATTTCTTTTCTGTATGATTTCTTTGTAGTATTATTTTACTGAATCTAATATTGGTCAAAATCGTGCTGAAGTTGCTAATAAACATTTATCTGAATTAAATAGTTATGTTAATGTAACATTTTTTTCTGCAACTATTGATGAAGCATTTCTTCAAAAAAATCAAGTCAATGTAAATAGTTTTTAGAAATTTTCAAACTAAGATTTTATGAAATGAATTTCTAGGTCTTTATTCTTACCGATGCTAATTTGGATGATCAAATAAAAATTGGTGATTATTGTCATGAACATGGAATTAAATTTATCAATGCAAATACAAAAGGTTTATTTGGGTAAGATAAATAAATCATTAATTTTTTTTGTTCACTATATTTTTTCTTTGTTCTCAAATAGGCAAATCTTTTGTGATTTCGGTCGAGATTTTGAAGTACTCGATACAAATGGTGAAGATCCAGCAATAGAATTAGTAGCTGAAATCAGTCGTGTATGTGTTGTTATATGATAACGAATTTATTTCATATATATTTCTCTTCCTTGTCTAGGACGAAACCGGTGTAGTTTTTATGTCGACAGATACAAGACATGGTTTTGAAGACGGTTCATACGTTACTTTTCATGGTGTAAAAGGAATGACTGAAGTTAATGGTCAAGAATTTAAAATCTCTGTACCAAGTTTGTACAATTGTTTTTTTTCATTACTTATTTAGTTGAAGTAAACAATAATTATGTTTAGGTCCATTTACATTTACAATTGGTGACACAAGAAATT